CGCACACAGCCCCGCTCGCAGCCGCCAGACGCCGTCCGCCACCCGCGATCCTCGCGCACCCCAGTGACCTGTACGCGACGCACGAGCTGCTCCTGGCCACCGCTCCGGCGAGCTTCTCGAGTCCGGCAAGAAGAATCCGGCAGCCCTACGGATTTTGAGTTCAGACAATCTCCTACAAAGAAAATATACGACGACTCAGAGTCTGCAATTTTAAGCCATAAGTGTTGAACTCTAAACCTCTAGATCCGCTGCGCATAGGTTTATTGTTGCTATTGAATTCGTGACTTAAACATAACAAGATCTTTACCGATCAGAACAAATTGTACGTGCACAACCGAGTGACAACTATTATATATATATATGTAAATAAATTGTTTTATTTAAAAATAAAGATGAAAAAGTGATTTCTTTAAAAAATAAAATATATTAAAACTTTCAACGAATATATAGGATAAAAATATAATTTTTAAAGTTAATGTTATGAAAATAATAACGAATAATAAAAAAAATCCAAATAAACGAATAATATATCTAATACAATAATTTTTATTTTCAAACAATATAAGAGAAAATAAGCATTTGTTTTTTTCATAATTACTTTTGTATGAGACATTTTTTTTTTATGACTTATGAGACAAAAAGTAGAAAAAATTATAGTATTAGATATTCCCCATCTGATGCCAAAAAGAAAAGGAAACTAACGAACGTAATCCCTGTACATTTTTGCCACAAAAAATTATCTGGAATTCAATCTGACCGTCCGTTGATATCCTTATCAACGGCCAAAATCCACGATCCGCGTACCAGCATACCATTGGCCCCCTTTTCTTGGACCGCAATCCTTATATAAACGAACTCGCCCCTTCTCGTTCATCACTCTAATTACAAGCTTCTGTTCTGCTGTCGCTCCCTTTGCACATACACAGACCAATTACACCAATTTTCTTCTCTTTTGTTCTTTGAATTTTCGAAATGGCAGGCCGGGGTAAGACTCTCGGATCTGGCGCTGCAAAGAAGGCACAATCGAGGAGCAGCAAGGCTGGTCTGCAGTTTCCCGTCGGCCGTATCGCGCGTTTCCTCAAGGCCGGCAAGTATGCCGAGCGCGTCGGCGCCGGAGCTCCGGTCTATCTGGCTGCTGTCCTTGAATATCTCGCCGCTGAGGTAATTATTGCTTCTTAAAAGAATTTTACCCGCTCGTATTCTATAACCCCCAATATTAGAATTCGCGAATCTAGGGTTTTGAGTTTGTGGTTAAACTAAGCCGATTGTAGTCGTTTGCTATTTTGAAGGTTTTTTTATTGAGAAACCTAATTCTCCAAATTGCTAAATTGATTGACTTAATTTGAATTGTACGTGAAGGTGCTGGAATTGGCTGGGAACGCTGCCAGGGACAACAAGAAAACAAGGATTGTGCCTCGGCACATTCAATTGGCAGTGAGGAACGATGAAGAATTGAGCAAGCTTTTGGGTGACGTGACGATTGCCAATGGCGGTGTGATGCCTAACATCCACAACCTTCTGCTGCCGAAGAAGACTGGCTCCTCAAAGCTTTCTGCTGATGAGGATTAAATCGGTGATGGTGAGAGGCAAAGAGGAACACAAGTGACTTTTGAATTTAGGTTTTGCTAGCAGTCTGTTTTTTTATGGTTTTATTGAGTTTATGTTCTTGGTTATGGGGTTTTGGCCATGGCTGGTGTAGGGTTTGTGCATACAAATGAAATGTATCGAGATTGAAACTTTATGAGATATAGAGATAATCCTGGCTTATTTATTTTATTGGGCTCTTTATATTATTATTTAACTAATTTGTATGTTACACAATTCGTATCTTGTTAACAGAAAATTGAAATTTCCCAAAAGCTAATTTGGTTTTTCAGTTTTTAAATATAGATGATATGGAATATTTGAATTGATCCAATTCTAGTAAATGAAACTTTTGCTGTGTCAATTGTACAATTTTGGGTTTGAATGACTCTAAATGATGCTGTAATCATTTTACTCTGTTCACCGATGAATTAATCTTGGAGATGCATAATATCGAAATAGTGAAATCTGATTGCTCACCTTGCAGTGCCGTTATAGTTGATACCCTCTTACAAATTTCACAAACTTTTGAAAACCAAAGAAAATTCTATTTGAATCACCGATAAATCATAATAAAAAAGAATCGTATAATTTTCCAACGCTTCTATACACTGTCAAATAAGTTGGTCTATGAACAATTAACTAACTACTCTGAATAATCTAAGTATAAAAAAAAAAAAGTACATTAGTAGGAAAGATATACAAACAAAAACTCATCACAGGAAAAATCAAGCAGCCCTCATTACCTTACCCAATTCTCTCTAATCACAGATGCCCAAAAAATGAAGCTCCAACTCCAGAAAAAAATCAGAGGAGTAAGCAAACACACCTCACCAATCCATTGAAAACCAACTCCCTAGAAAATCAACTACTTCTGGTTGGGCACTGCCTTTGGCGACTGCTCCTTCCCAACCTTACTCACAATCTTGACCTCCTTACAAACCTTATCCAAAATGACGAGAAAATCACGCACTATCACAAACAGCCTAAGCCCTTCCTCCTTCCCAGCCGCATTCCCGTGAAAATAATCCGCCGTACTCTTCATCAAACCCATTACCCTCTTCTCCTCATCCACCAACCACTTCACTTCCCCCTCCGCATCCTGCACAAAACACCTCAACGACTCACAAAACCCATCATCATCCTCATCACCCTCCTTCACATCACTACTCAAAAAGTTTCCCACATTCACAAGGGCCCGGCCCATCTTGGCCACACTGCACGTAAGCCCATCTAAGTCCAGAACAGCGGCCCGCTTCACATTCTGTAGCTCATTACCCAGGGAAGACACAATCTGAAGGCCCACACTCCTGAGGTAATCATCTGAGTCCTGTAGAGGGTTAATATCGTCATTTAGGTCCTCTGACTTGAAGCTCGACATGCTGCGCATCTCGCGGGCTGCACGGGCTGCCCTGACGCCTTCTGAGCGGATAATCTCTTGGACGACAAAGTGGAGGAGTGTGGTTTTTCCATCTATGCCCCTCACGTCCGAGAGCTTGAGAAGTGTGTCGAGCTTGAATGCTTGGGCCCGCCCGCGGAAGGTTCCGTCGTTCATGCGGTTGCCGGTTTTGAGGACGGCCTCGAGGAGCTTCAGGAAAAGTCTGCTCTTCCGGACCTCCGTGCATGCAGCCTGCAGGTATATGTATTTTGAGCAGTTACGCATTTTTCGAAATCTAATCTAATGGATGACAATATGGCTGTCCATGAGTATTTGTGGATGTTATTGTATGTCAAGGAAGTTGATTAATGTCAAACAACAGTTGGAGTACTGTAGTTTTGTGTAGACGATGAATGCAGGTATTCGTCGTTTTCCTTCACCTTCTAGATTTTGAGCAGTTGCGCTTTTTATTTTTTCATATATTTGTAGTTTTTCCTTTTTCAGATGGGTAGTATAGTATGTTTTAAGGGTTCGGCTAACTATTTTGGTAAATTCTAGCAATGCTGAAAAAGAGAAATTTTCTCCCATGAAGTTGAGAATCACAATTCCGAATAAAAGTTAATTGAGTTCGTTTTTCTGGGATGGCAAATGTGCATTTTTAATCTCCAGGATTGCTTACGAGAGGCAAGGGTGAATCCTTCTCAAGGTAGGAGCAACACAAAACACTTTTGATGTTTGCTTGAATCCAAAAGTGAGTACAAAATGAAATTTAAAACTAGTGTCACTTGATAAGAAATATAAAAGTAATGTTCTGGACATAAATAGCAGGAAAAAGAAAATCTTACTTCCAAGATTGCAAAGGACTCCTTTAAAGTTGCTGCCTCGTTCTCGAGAGTGCACATAAATAGCAGGCATTCTAGCCTCTTAAAAGCAAATGGAAGCTCGACCATAACTTTCAGAAAACGCTCTGCCGGAACCAATCTAGAAAGATCGCCGTCAAAGAGTCTCAGCTTTAGTTCTTCTTCAGCAGTTGGGGCCATCTTTAGCAAAGTCTGAATTAGCTCTGGAGGAAGTTCATTACCTAATTCGTTCGAAATATTAGCTGGTTTCTCAATGGTAATTGAAAGAATTTACCTCATACAAGCCATGTCTTAAGAAATATGAAAGTGAATAACATAAAAGAACAGACTCAGGGAGACAACAAAAATACACTTGAGGTCCAGTCTAGTTTCAAAAGCTACACAGCTCTCTCTCTAAATTATAAATATCCCATTGATATTTTTTATTTTAGTTCTACAGATACCCGTACACCATCAAACAGGAGGTGTTTGTCAAGTTTAGGGGTTCTCCAGTTACACTTATTTATTTTTGAACTATTCATAATTAATTTGTATGCGAGCAACACTCCACTAAGTGAATAAACAGGTGTTGACAAGCAGAAATTATGATGCACCCATGTCACTTGGAGAATAAAACTAAGACAAACAACAGAACGAAGCAAAAGAAAATCTATTTCCTAATAGAATCAGGTATACAAAGCCAAGAGAGGAGTAAGTTATCACGAGAAGAAAAATGTAACCAGAACAGTAAGGTACTGAAAATATATTTGAGTTCTGGTATTTAATACTGCAAAGTTGGCCAGAAGATTACTTCACATAACTTGGTTGCAAGGTGAAAAGATGGATAATCCAAAATAACTTGGCTTTTTTTGCAAAGTTAAAGCATGGATAATCCATAAGTACGCCAGTGCAATAAATGTACACACGACAAATATCATAATTCTGCATTTTCATATTTCAAAGGAGCCAGTAGCATAATTAATAAACGTACACATATCGAAGTAAAATAGCAGGAAATATAGGTGGAATCCCATCCAACTTAACTTCTAAGCTATTGTAGAAGCATGATAACATAATTACATAAACATATCTTTTCCAATGAATATATAATATAAAAACACACCCACAAGGAAACTCATGAAATTTTTTTTTGGATCCTTTCTAGTCACCAGCACATGTTAAAAGATTCAAGTTGGGGAAGAGTCATACCCCAAGTAACAACTTGTAGCAAAAATTTCCTTAGCTGATATAAGCACTGAGAAACCTTATTGTCTTTGATACGGTTCTTTTTTGAAGACTTCAACTCATAGACATGGGTAGTGAAAACCATGCAGCTATATTCAATAGTGAAGTCTTATTATACCTATACATCTCATCCACTCAGAAAATTCACTATTTAGTCCAAATAACCTATGCAATTTAGTTACTATTTGATTCATTAAGTCAAAATTTAACAAAAGCAAGACATCCCTTTTCATGGCTGCTCAGCCATACTCATATCTTCCATTTATTTACTCGAGCAAGAAATTGCAAACGAACATAAACCCAACAAAAACAAAAAAAAACAAAAAAAACAAATACCTTCTTTAAGCGCATCAAAAACTTCCTCAGAAGTCACGTTCAACGCTTTGAGCAAAATGGATAGATTCTGCGATTTCCTAGCATCAATTATGTGAAGAAACTGAGTCGACGCATCTTGGGATGGTGTCTTTTTCTCCACCTCATTCTTCTTATTCGCAGCAGCACACCCAAACAGACTCTCGATCATCTCCTCATCGAATCTGCCCATCACCACGTTTTTCCCCCCAACACTAATCTTACTNCCCTTGGCGGCGGTGGCGGCAGAGAGTGGCGGCCTCCGGCGAGTACAGGTGGCGGTGGGGGTGGGCGTGGGCCGGCCTTAGGTGGTGGAGGTGGCGGCGGAGGGCGGCAGGGAAGCAGAGGTGGGGGAGGGATGGGCCCGCTTTTGGGCCGGAGGGGGTTGCCAGGTGGAGGGGGGAGTGGGGGTCCGTTTGTGGGCCCGAGAGGGATCTCGAGTTTTGAGTTGGTTGGAGAATGAAGGTTGTCCATGAGCGGGCTTCGGCTGCTGCTTCTGTTGAGGCTACTAAGCCTGCTGTTGAAAGACTGATTATTAACTCCGTACTTCTCTTCGCTCATCAGAGCACCTAGACTGGGCATCTTCTGTGTAGATGCTGAAACACAAGAGATCAAGGAAAGATTATACTCCGAAAAAAGAAAAAAGAAAAGAAAAAGAGATGACCATTTTTTTTCTTTTTTTCTTTTTTTCTTTACCTATGGAATGGTCGCTTAAGCTTGATCTGAGAAGAGGGTTCTCGTCATTTATGCCCTGACCGGAGGTATTTTTACTGCAGAAGAAAAAGAGCAATGCCCCAATAGCGAGAGCGAAAGCCGCTATAACAAGAACGAGAGCAAGAGTTGGAAATGGGGAAGATTCTTCTTCTTTCTGAACTAACTCGCGCCGTGTGGATGAGAAGTGACTCGGGAAAATAAACCACCCTGAGTATTTGTTGTACCAAGAATCTGAATCCTTCTGAACACTCACGAGAGTGTTTTCACGTAAGCAATCTAGAAGGACTTTCTTAACCTGAGGGCACAAAATGCTGAGAGCTTCATGCATGCTTGTTGTGGACGACTGAGCATTTGGATTGAAGTAATTTAAGGTTCTCTTGGCAAGTAAAAACTCCTGCATGCATTTAGTCTGTAATAATCCAGCCTGTAAAGGAAGAAAAGTTTATTCGATTATTGCCAAGCATGAGTAGCACTATTATGGCTAGGCATTAGTTTTGGTAAATTCATAAGAGAATAAATCTTAGGAGTAGAGTATGACATGAAATGCGGGACTTTCACTTAATGAACCAATAACTTGTTATTCCTGCTAATTTCCCAGTAACGAAATTCGTAAAAAATGTGACGAGCAAGGTGTTCATAACCAGCATATATGTTGTAAAGAACGCGAAGGGCATTTTCATTCGACATTTACCCACATAATTTTGCTAAAATTATTTCAAGCAGAGAAAATGTGATATCTAATCATACAGAATTAACCAAGTTGCTCTTCACAATCACAAGCATTAGTAGTTCATTAATATTACCAAAGGTTCTCTACATTATATCTTGACAAAAACTGAATCTCAGTGCATGAAAAACAAAGGATGTGCGAGTCCATAGGTAGGATGTATTAAGTTTCTCAATAGGATCTACAAGAGCAAGAAAATATCATCAAACATCCAAATATTACCTTTGTTATTTCAATAGGTTTCAACCATGACAAAGTACAAGAAAAGACTAGGATAGATAAATATGAAATGTTTCAAGACACCTCATTGATTCAAATTTGAGGATAGTGTAAGCATATACCTAAGGAATTCATAAAGTAATAATGCAAGAAATCAAGTAGCGTGAAGGAGCAATAGCAAAAAAAGAAACTAAAATAAAAACAAGTACACGTGATGGAAGGGGTTTCCGAATTATTTAACATTTCTGCACAATTTAGGAACCAAACAATAAAAAGATAGTGTGTATCCAATCACCTTTAACTAACACATGCTCCCAACGAGTTAAGAAAACAGTAGACCATTATGAATCAAATTTGCATAAGTAAATACTCATGAAAAAGGACAAAAACAACGAGTAAGAGCTGCTCATACCGTCTCACGACTAATCTCTCCAGAGTCTATCAGATAAGCCAACAGAGGCTCTTCTTGTTCCTCCAACTTGCAGTCCACACTCATTACCACAACCAAAATCCAGAGCACTACAAAAAAATGATAGCTTCTTTTGAAAAATACCTTTTCTTGGATCCTCATTTTCCCAATTCTGCAAGAATGCTTCTCATAGCATCAGACCAAGAATCAAACGGACAAAAAGACACCAACCCAAGAGGTTGATTATGAATCAACCCAAGTCAAATATGTCTCTGGGGGAGCCTCCAATCATGTCTTTGCTCGAAATCTTGTCTCCCCCTCCTTAAAAAAATCATGCAAAATCTGTACACGGAAAGATGTTACAAGAACGAAACAAAGGTAATCTTCAAAATGTGGGCATGAAATAAATTCTTAAATCCCTTTCAGGTGGTGAATCAAAAAGAAATACTCCTGTTGGGCTTTTCGGTTGATCAGAAATTCAGAATCAGATCAAACGAAAGGGATTGTAAACATTGTCTTCTTGCGGAGGAAGTGGATAAAATATCCTGTACGTCGAAAGGATTGCTGAAAATTTTGAAGTAATAGGTTTCGAATGTTTCATTTTTGTTTGCGAGTTTCAGGTTCTGGTCCCAATTTTCTTTTCTTGAAAAAAATAAAATAAAATAAAATTATTATAGATTTATGTATCTTTCTTTATATCTTTTCTTTTTGAAGAAACTATTGGGAATTCACAAGATGAGTGTACGTATAACTAAAATAAAGGATAGAGGAGTGTATAACTAAAATTGTTACATAATTATATGGCGAGGAACACATTTTTCATATAATTGTTTAAGATAAAATTAATAATAATAGGTAACTTAAAAGAATAAAAATAGAGAAATTTTATTGTAGGACTTAATTTTTTGTTATTGTGTCAGAAACTTGAATTTTTAATTTTTTCATTTGATGGTTCAATTTTATTTTATTCTCAATTACAAGCTTGCTTACTTTTACATTCTAGTTTTCAATTTAAGATAGCAACTAACTTATATATTTATATAAATATGTAAATCAATATATTATTATTTTAAAATCTATATTTTAGAATTATAAATATATTTAGTAAAATTACTTTAGTAAGAAAATTAATTCACTTAAGCTAAATTAATGTTGCATAAATGTAAATGATTTGAATTAATTTTCTTACGAAGCTATTATTACAAATATATTTAATACTTTTACTATCGGTATTAATTTTATATATTCTTAACTTTTTCAATCATATAAATTTTATTCACAAATAATATTTTCTATAATTTTATTTAAAATAATAAAATTATTTTTCTAAATAGTTTATTTTTTAGTTTTATCACATATTTAGATTAAAATTAAGTTATAATTTATCTTTTTAACTTTTACAATAAATTTCATCAAGCTTTTTGCATAAGTGTAAATTATGAAATAATTATCTTATTAGGTAATTTTACAAATATATTTAATATTTATATTATAAGTCCATACAAAATAAATTAAAAAAGGTATTGTAGTTTACATAATTATGTCAAAATATAAAGTGATTTGGAGTCAAAAATTTAAAAGTATAATGCAAAAACATAGTAGCAATTTGTACATGCACAGCATAAGCAATTTATACAGACAAGACCAGACCTGCCACTTTGTCCATAACCAGAATGGATAGTGACACAAAAGAGATAATATTAATGTTTACTAAGGTTGTATATGTAAACCAACACTTAGTAAGCATAATCAGATGTGTAGTGGCTTATCAAGCAGGTGACTGGTATGGTCAGAAACTTGGCCTCGATCTTTTATGCGAGCAAAATGTTCTAAAGCACGGAAAAATAATTTATAGGAAGTTGTGATATCATATTAAAAAACAGTAAACTAATTTGAGTCTTGCAGGGAAATGTTATAAGATATGAATAACAATTTCAGTAATAATGTGTAGTTGATAAGATATGATTAACTATTTCACTGAAGCATGCCTTTTCCAAAACAATATAAGTTGATAAGATATGAATAACAATCTCACTGAAGGAGATATGGATAACAATTTCACCGAAGTAGACATTTTCCAAAAGAATGAGTTAACAACATACACACACAAATACACACATGCACATCTTTTATTAGTAATACTAGAGTTTTATTAACTCCTCTTCATAAATGGGGATGTAGCTCAGATGGTAGAGCGCTCGCTTAGCATGCGAGAGGTACGGGGATCGATACTCCGCATCTCCATGTCTTCCAGCTTTTTTGTTACTTCTTAAATTTTTTCTTTCTGTTATGCGTGAAGCCCCGATCTTGCACTAGAAAGAGTCCATTTGTTTTAAGCAAATAGGCTACTTGTGGGTCTTATACGAAGCCCAATTTGCTGAATATTTTGGGCCTAAGTCTAACTTAGTTACCAAGTTTTTCTTCTCTCGACTCTTGAGTAAGTTGTAGGAAGTACCCAATAAGCCGAAGCCATCTGTACAACAAATACCATTCTCTTGCTCCTATTTTACTTGGCTTACAAGTGATCCAATAGTTGTTTTAACTAAGAGGAAATTACACCCCAAACTAATATATTGATCTTACATAACACTTTTGCACCCCTTAAATTATTATTTATAAAATTACCTAAAGAAGCTAAAAATATTTCAATTAAACCTACAATACATTGTGTAACCGTTAGTAACTTTTTACCTCCACATTAAAGGAAAATGAGATATTTAATTGAAATTAAAGATACACTTACCTAAAAAATAGGAACAAAAAAGGTAGATTCTTCTCCACCCAAAACCACTCCACTGCCCCATCGCTCGTATCACTCTACAATGAGATATTTAATCAAATGCTGTTTTGATTGCGAGGAAGCTCGGTGCAACTCTGGCACTGCCCGACATCACCGAATATAACTCGGGCGAGAAGAGGTAATTGTAGTTCTCAATAAATATTTAAGTTTGTTTCTAACAAAATTGTCTAAATTGATTACTGACACATGGATAAACAATTGTGCTTTGTAGTTAGTCATTGTTATCATCACTGAGCATAAGAATAAACGAAATCTGTGGGCATGGATGTTTTTTTTTTGCCCAAAACATGGGCATGGATGTCAAGTGTGAATCGACGATGAAAGAAATCTGTTCAGTGGGCATGGTGTTTTTTTTTGGCCCAAAACGTGGTCCAACAGTATGCAGTATATGTTGTGTGTACATGGAGTATAGGTTCAGTATATTACAAGTTTTTTTTGTAAACTGTTGAGTTATGTTGTGTATATATGGAGTATATGTTCAGTATATGCAATATATGTTTCGTGTATAGGTATAAAGTATATGTTCATAGCANTGGAAGACATTTTTCTTTATTGCAACATATACTGAATATATACTAACATAAACGCAAAATATACCACCTGACAGCTGCGTGAATTAAGGAATTCCAACTGCGCACATATACTGAATATATACTAACATATACTGAAAATATACCACCTGACAGCTGCGTGAATTCAGGTCCCGAATTAAGGAATTAAATGAGTCAGTTATTTATTTTCATTTCTCTCTTATGAGTCAGCTATAATTAAGGAGCTATAATTAAGGATGGAGCGTTTTATTTATATGGTTATTTACATGAGGTATACTTCTAATAAAATCATATATTTTAGGTATAGATGCAATTAAATTTGTTCCACTAGTAAAAATGCAATATCTTTCAATTCTTACTGGAAGAGTGAAAATTTCCCTTTAACTAATTGTCTGTAGGCTACAGTACTCGGATCATAAAAGTATGATAAATTAGCCAAGGGAAAAGCTTGGTCCAATGTCTTGTTGGGTAATTAAAGGTTAAGTGTATAAGCCCCCGCAACAGAATATGCCTGCAAATGGGTTAGGAGAAGCAAGATATTAGATAATTGGTCCCCATGACACAAAATCAGAAATTCAAACATACAAATTGAATAACAAATATCATATATTCCCTCCTAATCATAATAAGTGTCGTTTTGGGAAGTTGCACACTAATTAAGAATAATTTTTTTGCCAATAATAACCCTCAGTAATGAAGATAGAGATGGATGTTTTAAAAAAAAAAGATGAAGAGAATATGAAAAGACGTAGTGTATTTATTAACTAAATGAGAGTAATAATGGAAAATATGTACAAAAGATCTAAAACGATATTTATTTTGGTTAACTAACCCCAACTGTCTTTCTTTTTCTTTTTCATGATTTTGCATGTGGTTTATTCAATAAATGTTAGAATCCATCAAACTTGTACAACACTCGCAAGTAATGTATCCAAAGCACGATGCCGATGGTAGTTATCTTCACACTGATTATTTCATTTTTCCAAAGTACATATAAAGACTGTAAAATGCTACATACACAAAGTAATCCAAAGTGACACGTGAGTAAATTAAACACAAGACTAGAACATCATTATCTTTTAGGTGCAGTTTATCTTCAAAAGGTAAGAGTTGAACATCAAATGAAGTAGTGTCCCTTGATAGGTGCTAGTTAAATTATAATATTATTTGATTAATAAAAAATGTACTAACAATCCTTATTGAAAATATTTATAATGATGTTTGGTCTCTTAATTGTAAATCGATTTAGTAATTTATAAAACCCAATATATAGTTGGATTGTAACATTTTTTAATGTTGGTTTTCTACTTTTAATTTTTTATTTTTTTTTTCTGTGTAATCACATAGTTTAAATTAAGCTATTTTCTTCTTAAAATAATGTTTATTTGATAAATTATCAACAAAAATGCAGCACAATATGCTACAAAAGTTCAATTTAAATAATTTTTAACAAAAAAAAACCTTATTTTTGTATCCCGGTGCTGTCATGAAAAAAAAAAATTGCTTATACAGATTCTAAGTTTTTAAAAACTTGATGGTACACATATCGATATTTATATTCATAGTAAATACATTTTTACAAGAAATGAGTGTTTGGACTTCAACTACAAGCTCGTTATAACATTTTAAATCTGACTCCCTTGAGTGAAATTCCTAAATTCGTCACTGGGGCGAATGGTAGATAGAGTTCCCATTGGATTTTTAATTTTAATTTTTGACCATTATTAAAACTATTTAGGAGGTGATTGGATATGAATTCAACTTGTAAAAAACTAGTTTTTTTTTAACTATAGTTAAATTTGAAAAAAAAAATAGTATGGTTAGTTGTTAGTGGATATATTAAAATAATATTTAAATTAAAATAGTTAAAGTTGATTTGATGTAAAAGTAGGAGAAAAT